GGTGTTACCCTACTGAAGATGTTCCTCGGAAGCTGCTGAGCCATGGCAAAGAGCCCTTCAGTCAGCATGTGAGAAAGCTGCATGCCACTATCACTCCAGGGACTGTCCTGATCATCCTCACCAGGTGCCACAGAGGCAAGAGGGTGGTTTTCCTGAAACAGCTGGGCAACAGCTTGCTACTTGTGGCAGGACCTCTTGCCCTCAACAGAGTTCCTCTTCAAAGAACACACCAGAAATTTGTCATCGCCACCTCTACAAAAGTTGATATCAGCAAGGTTAAAGTCCCCAAACACCTGACTGATGCTTACTTCAAGAAGCAGCAGCTGCATAAGCCCAGGCACCGGGAGGGCGAGATCTTCGACACAAAGAAGGAAAAAGAGATTACAGAGCAATGCAAGGCCCATCAGAAAACCATGGACTCGTAGCTTTTGCCAAAGATCAAAGCTGTTCCTTAACTCCACGATTACCTAAGGTCTCAGTTCTCTCCGACAAACAGGATGTATCCTCACAAACTGGTTTTCTAAATTGCTATCAACCTAGTAAAACAGCTTTAAGTGTTTAAAAAAATTAAAATAAGAGTTTTTATTTCTGAAATTTTATAATTATATGCTTGTTTATGAATTAAACTTTGTTCTTTAGTGACTTCATTATAAGACTCTTTGAACTTGAAGGTTTACTCTTGTCCACTCTTCTAAATAATTTAAATTACTTCTTTAAACTTTTCCCTTTTTCTTTAAAGACCTTCTTTAACTCCCTACATCTTTGTATCATAATCAAGATTAATTGATCTTCTACTTCTCTTACGATTTCTCTGTCTTGCAGCATCTTCCAACACTGAATTGTTTGAGTCATCACATCTTTTTAATTAAGTGTTCTCTCTTATATTAAACATCACTTTTTATTGTCAACTGTTCCTGTTCCATGAATACAATATCTTATTATATGTGCCCATTGGAAAACATTAATAGAAAATTAGCTATTTTCTTTTGTTTATTTTTTTTCCTGTTTCATTCCTACTTCTATTTCAGATAGAATCTCACAATGCAACCCAGGCTGCTCTTGAACTCCTGGTCCTCCTGAATGCCGGGATTATATTGCATGACATTGTTTGGTTTGTTTTGCTTGCTTTGTACTTTGACATTTTTTAGTAGGAGTTTTCCTCTATTACCTACCCTCTTACTGTCCACATTTCAGCTCTGGTTATACAAGTGCCAGATACTGATTCCTTACAGAGCCTCTTTGTGGTGACTTTTTGTTGACTTTATTCTTGGAGATTGGCAGGTTTAGAGTGAGCTGACCTTGTCTGATATCGCATACTTCCTTGGCCTCTTTCTTTTCCTTGGCTTGTTCCCCAACTGCATTATACATTTGCAATAATGTTTCCTTTATAAACTACTAGCATCCAGGCTATTGTCTCAGGATCTGTTTCTGGGAGAACTGATCCTGCAAAACCAGCAAACCCCTGAAACCAGTTTAAGCAGATCCCTCATACTTATCCCATCCAAGTTTCTATTCATAGTGCCACTATAATTGGTACTTAGGTAAATGCATTGATATTTTGCAATACATGTTAAGAAATAATAGACCATTCCAACAAAGGAGATGAGAAGTAATTTACTCTTTTATGTAGATATTCGATATTGATACATAAAACATGGCAATGATTTTTCTCAATAGTTTCAAAAATTATGTGCTTCCAAAGAAGGTGTCATATAAATTTGTCAAAATAAAATTTGCTAACACATAAAAATCAGAGTAATGTATTAAGTAAAAAATTGGCAGGCAGAAATAAGTCCTAAAGTATTTGAATAACATATTAGAAAGCTAAAAATTCCTCCCCCTCAAAATAAATGTCATAACACTGAACATTGTCAAATATCCAATTTCCTAAATTTGAAATTTCTAAGAACCTTTGTAAAATGCACCTTCTTAAATTATCTGAATATTGTTCCCCACCACATATACAGATACGCACACACTACCACCACCAGGCGCTTACATATTCTCATCACTGTGAAACAAAATATAATTGGGAGGAAAGGACCTAAGAATCACAGCCTCGATTTGCAGATGACTTAAAGGGATTCTCAATAGTTATTCAGAATTTACTAGGTACAATTCCAGGCATTAAAAATGAATGGCTCATCACCTTATGTCCTGGTGTGAGGGAAAGTGATTGGACCACAAGATCAAATGGATGGGAATAAACCACAAATGTGTTCAAAAGATAGGGAAACAAGTCTTGCTTATTTTTGAAAGTTACAGAATAGACCCAATGTATGGTGTCTATGAAGCTAGCCTGGAAAGAAAGTACCTGCTCTTCACAAAGAATGCCTAACAAGTAAAGTAGAAGTCATGGCTCCTGATGTTTCTGGTAGGCATAGGAGGGCACAGGCATTGACAGTGACTGCCAGTGCCTGAGGATCCCTCAACATAAGTAGGAAAGTTTTTCTAAGGACAAACTTAGAAAGTTTGTGTCTCACCCAGTCCTGTAGCTATTCAGTCCCAAATAAACACATAGAGGTTTATGTTAATTATGAACTGTTTGGCTGATGGCTCAGGCTTCTTATTGGCTA